CCGCATTACATACCTCCATTGAGCTGCAACACCAGAACCACATGTGAAGAAAATCGGGATGGGGGCGCTGCGATAGCGGCGGTCGATCGATAGTGAGATCGGCAACGATCTGCACAACTTGGCAACACCAGGAATATCGACATGAACAGGAAGTGGTAATGCCGGCCGTCAATATTGATTACTCAATCGTGGTTAGGTTCGGTTGAGTTGCCGGATACGAAAGGGTGTGAAATTCAAAAGGAGGCGGGAAGTTTATATACAGAGCTGGTGACGAGGAGCAGACGGCAGCAGATGAAGGAAGCTGGAAGGACGCGAGGATCGAGATGCCGAGTCAAGACGCTTTACGACAGGGTCTACTAGGCTGAGAATGCCGGGCTGAGATCAAGGAAGCGCAGGTCGACGAGAGGAGTCAAGAGCGATGTATATGGAGGAATGACAGGGTCTACTAGGCTGAGACGCCAAGGCTGAGATCAGGAAGGTGAGAATGAGAATGACAGGACAACGAAAGTATCAGAAACAGGAAGGAGGCTGGGAAGGGCGCGAGGATGTTCGAGATGCCAAGTCAAAACGCTAAATGACGGGGTCTACTAAGCTGAAACTGACAGGCTGAGAACAAAGGGCGCAGGGTCGACAAGAGGAGAGATGAGGAAACTGCCTATGCGAGGAAACACCGAAACGGAGGACCGCCGGAGGATCCATCTTTTCAAAAACTTCCGAAGGAAGGTGGAACTGTGAGGAGTCTAAAAACTCCCCACAAACCGAGGTGCAGGAGAGGTGCATAGCAACAGAAATGGCTGGAATGGAGAAGAGGTCAAGGGCAACCAGGTCAAACAGGAAATTATGAACCTTGGACCCGAAAGCGGACCGTGAACTAAAGGTACCGCGCTGGACCTTGGACTCAAGCTGGCCAAGGGTACAAAGGTCGAACGGTAACGGTGCGGCTTTGGTCGAGCACAAAGAGGAAGCACTGTGAATTAACGGGACGTGGGTTGGAACTTGTACTCGAGCGCACCGTGCGCAAAAGGGGGAAATAACGGGATCCCCGTGGCCTATAAAAGGGTCGGCGCAAACGCAGCTCGGGACAGTCAGTGAGAATACGCGAGGAGCCCTACATCAGGCCAGTCAGTCAGTGTGAATACGCGAGAAGCTGTACCCTAGGTCAGACAGTCTGTGTGAGTACGCGAGAGTACGCGAAGAGCTGTACCCCGGGATAAGTGAACAAGAGCCTCAGCTTGACCTAACGGGCGATACACCTCCCCACCATAACATCCTAACCTCTCTGAAAAAAAAGCAAAGGAAAATAGTTTGTTACAACTTAATTGGCGCTCAACCATCAACTCATCAAGAAAACAAAAATCTTAACCTAGCAGGCTAATTAAGATACAGAACATGTAAATTTGATAAGTGAACTCAACGGCATACCATTATTTTGCAAAGGAAATCTAACCCAAGTAAATTCAACTTGGAGTAAATAAATAAATAAACAGTGAAAAAAAAATATTGCATCGCTCTTATGACTTATTTTCCATTTCATGTTTTTGCAAAAAAAACAAATTTTCTACGGCTCAAAACATTTTTTAAAATCAACCAGAATTATTTTTTTTGTGAAACCTTTGTCAACCTTCATTCCATTTCTTCCGCAAGGTAATTTCGTTTTCTCGAAAGCCGATCAATTGTGCTCGGTAAAAATAAATTTCTGTAGTGCCAACCAATGGTCAATGAGTTGGGCAAGTGAATATAGTATGGGAATATATAGGCAAGTAAATATCAAAGTCGAATACGATAGTGACGACGGGTGGGATTTAGAAACACAAGGCTTTCGTCCTACTACGACAGATAATACTACAGAAATGACGCTGTTAGCCAGGCCTTAACCCAGCAAGAAGCTAGATTGACACAGGCATTCCAATCACAGTTAAATGAGGTGAAACATCAGATGCAAAGCTTGTGCGTGGAAGCACCACAAGTGGAAGCTTACAAAAGAATAACCGTAGACCCAAACATTCGATGTGAAGTCGAGCTTGACATTGTAAAAACCATCCCAGATTTTAGGGGAGAACAAGATGACTATGTGTCATGGCGACAGCCAGCTGTAGACGCATACGAAATTTTCAATCCATATCATGGTAGCGAGGCACACTACCAAGCCGTTTCGATCAGAAATAAAATCAGGGGATTGGCAAGAGGGCTATTAGTTACCCATAACACAGTCTTGAATTTCGATGCCATTATTGCTCGATTAGACTGCACTTACGGAGACAAAACTTCGCTGCGTGTACGGCACTCGCGATATCAACATTTATGCGGACCATCAGCCTTTGACATTCGTGGTGTCCGATCGGAATCCAAATCCGAAGATAAAAAGATGGAGAGCGTATATTGACGATAACAACGCAAAAATCCATTACAAACCGGGTAAAGATAATCATGTGGCCGACGCTCTTTCCAGGCAGAATATTAACGCCTTACACTATTGCGACTATTCACAGCGAACTGTCACTGACCTACACGGTCGAAGCGACAGACCAACCATTAAACTGCTTTAGAAATCAAATCGTTATAGAAGAAGCACGTTTCCAACGTTTCGTTCCAACTAAAACGAAGCTGGGTATTGTTTCGTAGCAAAAATCTCCACTTAATCAATTTCGCCGACAAAAGTAGCATTTTGAAAATGCTGAAAGAAGTCGTGAAGCCCGAGGTCGTAAATGCGATACACTGCGACCTACCCACCCTAGCAAGCTTCCAACATGACCTAATTGCTCATTTCCGGCTACGCAGTTTCGCTATTGTAAGAATGTTGTAATGGACGTAACCAATAGAAACGAAGAGTTAGAAATTATCACGGCAGAACACAATCGTTCACACTCAGAAAAAAACATAGATCGTCAAGCGGTCAAGTGGAACGGTTCCACAGCACCTTGAAAGAAATCGCCAGATGTCTTAAGCTAAACAAAAAAAAAATTAGCGATACGATAGAACTATTTTTGAGGGCAACTGTAGAATATACGCCCTAAAAGTCCCAAGACCCTAAACAACATCGAAATATATAACCCAGCTAGGCGAAACCGTGTTTGTAGAAGAAGAGGTATAGAAGAGAAGAGAGAAGAGGTATTTGTCAAGAAAAATAAAAGGTTGGGAAATAAGCTAGCTCCATTATGCACGGAACAAGAAGTGCAGGCAGACTCTTATTAAGGGGAGGGTGGTAAGGACAACCTCCAAAGATCCCCCACTTCTAATTTGCTTGTAAGCCATATTTTTAAATAGTAAGCCAGATTTAAGTTAAAACACCGTGGTCTCCCTCTACGTTTGGATTACAGGTTCGCACTCACAACGCTCATCACCCTAGCAGTGGCTAATGCACGGATTTACCGCCAATTACATCCCAGTCGTAGATGGAGATGTGCTGGTGTTTGAACAACGTGACTGCCTGAGGCACTCGAGCAACCATTCCGAATTTATTAGTATGGTAGATGAGACAGAAAAATTGTCCGCAGTCGCAAATATGCGTAAATTACTAGAATTTGATACAGATCATCTGAGAACCTTGTTGTCCGTTCTTAAAATACACAAAAGAATTGCGAGAAGTTGCGGGAACTCCTGATGCCTCAGATTTCTTGAAAATCAGGATGTCAGAGGGTCAGCTAGTGGACTAAAATTCCAGGCAGATTAATATAAGCTCAAAAACAGATAAACAAGCTAACCGACACCATTAATAAAATGATCAAAGCCCGAAAAAACGATTTGGTTGACACCCCACATCTGTACGAGGCACTGCTAGCAAGAAATAGAATGCTGACAACAGAAATACAAAATTTAATTCTCACTGTAACATTGGCAAAAGCTAACATAGTAAACCCCACGATGCTTGATCATGCCGACTGAAATCACTTATTGAACAAGACAATAGTTAGTTTATTAGAAGCCGCTTAAATTAGGGTTCTCCAGTCCAATGACATTATCCATATACTTATAGCCTATCCTAGAGTCAAAGTCAGATGTAAGAAGTCAGATGCTAACAACTGAAGAGAGCACTAAATATATTTAATTCAGCAACTAAGTAGTTTTACATAATCAATACAATACCACATTTACAAAACAGTACAAACAATACTAGCAACCAAGTAGCTTCACACGAACAATGCTGACGCGCCCAAAATGAGTTTAGCGCTCCGCGCTTAGTCGGCTTGCCGACCATGGCTTTATGGCGTGATGCATTGGAGCCAGGGTAGACTTATACTTTGATATATTTTTGTACTCCAGTTCTGTTCAAGATCCGAAAGCTTACGCTCCGATAATAAAACATTGCTCCGGCTTTAGCCGCAAACATTTTTCGATCACTGGCGTAATTACTGAGCCACAAGGCCAGCGATTAGGGAGGAAACTAACTCCCCAACATAACCATCCTAAGAAGACTTTATTACAACCAAGTTGCAGTTGCACTGCAAGAAATCACGGACCGCCGCTGAACCACACCGCAGTCGGACGATAAGAAGGAAGTAGTTCATCGCGGGAAAAAGGCAGTGACGTAACAGCGCAACCTGTTTCGCAACAGCGCAACTCGGTTTTGCAATCCCAGTCATATAATATCTGACAGAGGATCTGCATTTATGTCGGAGATTTCTTGTAGTAATTAAACACTAGATTATCACGGCGGGCCTTCCTCATGCAAATGGACAGTTTGAGAGGTTGAACTCTACAATAGTTTCAGTCTAATCACTACTTGTAATTGAAGACCCACGACAATTGCATAAATTTGTCAGGAGCTTACTCATCAACTCAACGGATTCTTTTCTCAAATAATAAAAAAAAATGTTTCTTATTTACAGGTGGATGTAACCCCTTAATGATTTTTTTAGTTTTTCAATTACAAATTTATAAGAGATCTGTTGTATAATGTTAATCGCAATATAAACAAACTGTTGCTTAAATAAATTGTTAAGTGCCATTTCTCTTACAGAAATTTCTATCAATATCTGGGAATAACGTTTAGCGCAATTTACATTTTAAAAGCTATATAGTTTACCAACGAATATCCTTTTGTAAATACATTACCCAAAATTCGTTTTGGGTAACCACATCTTATTTGGTATGCAGATAGTAACATATGAAGGCATTTTATTAAATAAAATAAAACAGGGGCAGTTTCACCAAAACTGTGTGCCGTTATATACGGCACCAAGAAGAACATCCAAATATGAATACCCACAATTGAGATAAAGTGAAAAAATATTTTATATATAAGTGCTTTTCGTAGATAAATAGCGCGTTCCGTTACAATTGTAATAAACTGCACAATCAACATCAAAAGAAATGTAAATGGAACTTTGTTTCCTTGAATATACGTCTCCAGTACACTAGTGCTATATTTATAACGATACTAAAAAAATAATAATAAAATTATTATTGTAAATACTAATAATATAAAACAAGATAGATTGCTATAGTCGAGTTCCCAGACTATCAGATACCCGTTACTCAGCTAGTGGAAGTGAGAGAAATTTCAAAATTTTCTGGAATATCGGTAGAAATTGGGGAAAAAAATAATTAAATAAAAAAAAAACTTAAACGTTTTTTAAAAGTGTGGACCTAAGAGATTTGTGCGGTTTGTGGGCGTTAGAATGGGCGTGGTAAAAAGTAAGAAGTATTTTGGCAAATTTATAGAAATGTACAAGATATATAACAAAGTGAAAAAATATCCCGTTTTTCAAAAGTGTGGGCGTGACAGTTTTGGGCGGTTTGTGGGCGTTTGAGTGAGCGTGGCAAAATATCAGAACATTTTTTAAAAGTGTGGCCGTGAGAGTTTTGTCACTCGATTTTATGCGATCAATTAGTACGATCGTGTCAGCTCCAAATCTAAACCGAAGAGTGATTTTTAACTTCGTTTGCTTGAGCTTATCTGTGCGCAATCTATTACCGTCCGCTAAACGGTGTCTCTGTGTACTTCGCAAAAAAGAAAGTAACACCAGAGCGAAACTGAAAACTTAGTGTACGATCCTGCCCATTGGGCTGGTGTCTTGTCTCTCGCTTGTTCACTCACAGGCCGGCGAGATATAAGAAAATAAAAATTTTTGTCTCCACGTTTTGATGTTAGTGCATATAATTTATATTTTTTCCGAGTTGAAAATATAGTTAATTATTAAATGGATAAAAACACACCTTCTAATCTGCCGCTCTCGGGAGAGCTGAACGGGTTCGAGAAGATGAAGAAAATCGCTAGGCATTCTCCAGCAGAGTTACGAGCCATGATTGCTTCAAGGCAATTGAATTCTCTTGGCCTTTCCGAGCAAGTCTTGGCAAAACTATCTCTGCTACAACTGTAACAAATACAGTTACCACTTCTTTTGTTTGTTCAACAACAACATACACTGTGGGAGCTTCAACAAGTACTGCTTCGAGAAGAACTGCTTTAGTTAATTCTTCTGAAATATGCATGTCCACAGGTTGTATTACTTTACCAGAGGTTCCCCGTGTGAACCTCTCGTTTCAGACCTTTCCCCCTTCTGGACGCAGGAAGCGGAATCTTACCGATTCAGGAAAAAAAACCTACAATATTGAAAAAAAGCACAGAAACCATTTCCCGAGCGTCTATGGGAAAAACAAAACAAACTTCGTCCTCAACTAGTCTTCGCAACAACCGTTTCGCACCTTTAACTGAAGAATTAGCCTTACCGAAGATATGGAGACTAATGAGGAGTCAATTTAATTTAGCGCTGACAACTACTCAAATAATGACCAGCCGCGTCAAAAGGCAACTCCAAAACCTCCCCCAATATGTGTTCCTAATGTTAACAGTAGCAGTAACCTAGAAAGCACCCTCAACCAGGTAATCTCTGAAGATAAATATGACATACGTACATCCAGATCCGAAATTTCTCGCGTCCACACGGCAGATGCAACGTCATTCAGAAGTACACCATCAGCTCCGTGAGGAAAACCATATAGGCTGGTGCTGAAGAACATACACTCAACTGTCCCAAGAGAAGAAAAAGGGCGCGGCCACACCCGCAATTGCTGTCATATAAGGCCTGTTTGTGGGAATTCTGCGGCAGAGCATCCTACCAATTCGAAATCATTTGAGACACACCTAAACAATCAATACGTATATGTAAACTGCATGGAAAATCAACCTGCCAGAGTAAAAGTCTGCAAAGCCAGAATAGAATTGAGTAAGGGCCTAGAACACCCAACTACACCATTAATATAGCTAATGAAATCCGCCACGGACAATACGCGTCGACGTCATCTGTCAGAAATGGATTGGATTGGATTAATAGATTGGATCAACAATTTAAATTAGTCATGGAAACTATTTAATCCAACAAAGCTTTTCGTGATCTAGTCAGGTTCTGATTTATAAAAAATGATAGTCTCAAACGCAAGAGGGATAGTACAGAAGAATGAAGAACTTCGTCTTTTTCTTATTGCCTACTCTATAGACATTATTCTAATTACTGAGACTCATATGCGCCAATTATCAACAATATTATGGCAATTATCCAAGTAACAACGCCAAAGGCGGTTTATCAAAGCCAATATTCACCACAGTCAAAATAAATCAACGATGCGAACCGATTTATATGTCACCGGTCTCGATGTACCAACGAGCTATTATCAAAATAGCTTCTCTGCATCTTCCTCCAAAAGAGCCCTTGACTAAAAATGACTTCGATCAGCTAGTGCTCACATTGGGCCCCAAGTGTATAGCAGGAGGGGATTACAATGCTAAGCCTCAATGGTGGGGCAACCTAAGAGCATGCAGTCGAGGAAAACTACAAGAGGCCATCAAAACCAGTTCTTGCCAAGCTTTAGGTTCAGATGAACCTACATTTTACTCATCAACACTAGACTGACGCCAACAGCTTTAGACTTATTTGTCGTAAATGGGGTGGCATTAAATTAACTTTCAATTGAAACAAAATACGATCTGTCTTCGGACCACCTACCGGATGTAGCAACATTAAGTCACACTCCCCAATATAAATCCAGAAAGAAATCCTTGCAAGCTCCCGGATCCTCTGTTAAAATTTTTAGGAATGTCTTGGACAGAAGCATTAACCTAAGCATTGGCATAAATTATCTAACAGACATCGAAGATGCTATAGTGATGTTCACGGACAAAATTCACGTGGCTGCAAGTCCTGATGCATCGACTAACTACTCCCTGTGGAAATTCATGAATAGCCTTAAAAGACAAGTTATTTCAAAGGCTCCTATCAGAAATCCAGCTGGTGGTTGGTGCGGCTCCAGTCAGGAGAAGGCCTATATCTTTGCAAGCAGCTTAGAGGACAGATTTAAGCCGATAAATCTTACTCCGGTAGAAAACTGAACCAGGGTGCAAACACTCTTGGACCAACCATTTCAAATGGCCCTCCCCACAAATTCTGTTACTTTGGGAGAGGTAGTAAAAAATCGCCTGCTGTGCTTTTTGTAGTCCTATTGTTGATGCATATAGGCCCATTAGCCTTCTACCCGCGCTGGGTAAAAGGATAGAAATGATGGAACGCAACCTCTAACTTCCAAGCGTGAGCAAAGATATTCCAAAGTGTTGGCTTCCGAAAAAGTCATGACACTCCAGAACAGCTACACCCCGAGTGACTTTGTTTTGGAGGCAATGGAGAACAAAATGTACACAACCGCTGTATTCATGGATATACAACAAGCTTTTCATAGAGTATGGCATGAAGGGTCTTCTAAGCGAGCTTAAGACGCTTTTGACGTCACAGCTATTTCTTCTTATCAAAAGATTTCTATCAGATAGGCAGTTCTGTGTGGTTGTCGATGGCGACAATTCGTCTACGCGTACAATCTAAGCAGGTGTACCCCAAGGTAGTGTTCTAGGGCCGACTCTTTATACTTCTGGTCGTATACTTCTGACATGCCGGTGCTGTACAGAAGTTGATGACAAAAACGTACTTATTGCAACCTACGCGGATGACACTGCGGTAATGGTCATGAGTGGAAGCATGAGTGTTGCAACCAGGGGCTAACAGGAATATGTGACAGCCTTCGAGAAGTGGGCAACGGAATGAAATATCGGCATTAATTACAGCAAATGTGCTTGCGTTACTTTCACTAAAACGCCTTTGAACTGCTCAGGAATTTTATTGCTCGGATATATTGTTAGAGTAACTTGGTATGCATATGATTTAAAATTATATGTATAACCTGGTAAAGCTGTCACATAAACTTGTTGAATTCCAATTAATAAAATTTAAAAAAAAATAAAAAAAAGTTTTATTTTTGTGCGGTTTGTGGCAAAACGTTTTTCGGCAAATCGATAGAAATTTCCAAGACTAATAAAAAACGGAATAAATATCCAAACATTTTTCAGTTTTGGGCGGTTTGTGGGCGTGTCAACATATGGAAATAAACTTGTGGTGCGTCTATGTCTAATCTAAACATTTTAGCTTTTGTAGTTCCTGAGATCGAGGCATTCATACGGACAGACGGACATGGCCAGTTCGATATGGTTATTGATCCTGATCAAGAATATATATATACTTATATGGTCGGAAACGCTTCCTTCTGCCTGTCACATAATTTTCAACGAATCTAGTACAGCCTTTTACTCTATGAATAACGTGTATAATTATTCTTATGTTCTAACAAGCCTTAAGGATCTACGGAGCTTTACATGTTTTCTTATCGATAACTTAAGCTTTCTATCGTTTAATGGATTGTGTCTTGGGAGAGTTTTTACTATGAGGCTTTTAAAGAGTGATGCTTTTCAAAACATCGGTGTAAGATGTAAGAAGATATGAAGAATGAATATGTCACACCCTAATTTCATTTTGTGTTATTATTTTATTTTGTTATTTAAAAAAAAAATCTATTTAATGTTACAATTTTGATTAAGTTTTTCCCGAGTCTTATTCGTCTTAGTATATTAAGCTTAATGTATTCAATGTAAAATGGTTTATGATATTTCTGCAAAGTACAAGTTGCTGTTTCGTGTTTGATTCTACTAACTATGCAATGTTCTTTGATAATATTCTTTGTTTGTGTATAATAAACATAATTATTGTGTAGATAAAATTTGACTTCTATGTTTTCATTAATAATTATTCCGTTATTGTAAGGGGTAATAAGAAAAGTAGGCTGTTCAATTGTTTTTGTAGGTAGGTGAGTCATTGATATCGGAGTTATACCAGGCAGAAGTCTTTATATCCATTAAATATTTATAGTTAACGTTACCAAGATTGTCGTGCTTTAGAAGTTATGGATTAAATATTCTTAGAAGTATTAGCTGTGAACCCATTTCAACGTCTTCGATATATTCAGGATAATGTTTAATGTTAAATATTAAAAGTGACATTTTTCGTTTTTTCCATATCTTTATGGATAATTTTAGTGTCTTTATTTAGGTTATAATAACGT